TTAAATATTATTTTGCTTTCATTTGTTCCATTTGTCTGCTGCGAGTTTTTGGTGTTTAGCAAAGTTTGGATCCCCGATTGTTACTGCGTGTTGTTCGGTGCATTTCTTTCGTTTTCCGCTGGGAGTAGCTACGGCGCCGTGTGGGAGAGATTTGGTGTTATGCTGTTGCATGTTACTTCGTGTTATTCTTGGCATATTTGGAGATTCCGTTTAGCATTGTTTTTTCCTTCAGCCAGTTGTGACTTCCGGTGCAGTATGCGTGCAAGGCGTGAAACGCTTAAAGCGCAGTGTGCGAAGTTTGGGTGTAGTGAGTTTGTGAGATTTTAGTTTTTATTTGAAGCAAAGATGTGATGTAGTTAAAAAGTTAGCCATTATGGTTGATCAATTTTTTATCATCAAGTGCGAGTGAAGGTGCAGTTTACTGTCTTCTTTATATAAAAGTGCTTTGGGAACGTCGTGGCTTTGAGACCACCAACGGATAATTGTAGTTTTGTCGGAAGTGCTCTGATTAGCCGTTTTTTGTCTTTTTTATGCTGAATTCAATAATTTTCTCGAAGGCTTTCTTTCCTCGAGCCTTCCCTGACTGAGACCTGGTGTTTTGCCGGGGTGCGTCAGATTAAAATGTATCGTCGGGTGATATTTGGACATCGTTGGCGAAAAGCGAGTGTGTCGCTTCGGGAAGTGTTCAAGTCTTTATTTAACATATACCGTCCGTTATTATCCAGGATAGGTAACGTCTGATTTTTCAGTTCTTACGCCATTTAGTAGTGGAAGCTTGGTGGTGGTAGGAAAATTGGATAACGATATATTAAACTAACCTTCGACTCTTATTTTGTCTTTAGCTTTACAACTTTGGAAGTGAACGGTCTGTAGCGTTGACCATGGTTGCTGATGAGGAGGGCATGATCAACAGCATCTGTTTTGTGCAGTGCCACAACTATTGTGAAATTCACCGTGAATTTTAACCAGTAAGAATTGTTTTGTCTATGAATAAGTACTTAAATTTGGTTGTTCTTAGAAAAACGTATCAGAATGGAGCCAGCGGAATCAGATGGAGACAAAGCAAAATAAAGTTATCTTGGAATAAAAGTTTTACAAATATGTTACGAGGCTCGGGCGTCAGAGGCGGGTAGAACATTTAATACATTTTTGGTCTTTTGTCTTGAGAATTTTTTTTTCAAATGAGTGATGTAATTTTAGATGAATTAATCAAACATTTGTTTTTGGGTGTACAATAACAGCCTTGTATCCATGTGTTTAGTCTGTTTGAATATGTAATTGTTTTCTTCCTATTTGAAAAACTTGCTCGAATCACTCGTTAGGATAACGTTCTGTAATAATTTTTTGCTTGTTTAGAGTTAATGAAAAATTTTAAAGCTTCTTTTTGCGGGCGTTCAGTAAGTGAATAAAAAGTTTGCAACATTTTTTGTGTGTGTGTGTATGGACAGCGAAGAGTAATTTTTTTTTGAGATCTTGGCATGTTTCATTTTTGAAGTCCTGAATAACTCTCACCTAGAAGTTCTGGAGATTGAACAATTTTTCAGAAGTCCAATTTTCAATCGTCTTTCCGACATTATCTTGGGGAAACATTTTTGTTGTCTTTATCACGTCTTCCTGTATACGGGTAATTCACCAGAAACAAGTTGTAGTTATCAGTTTTACCTTTGTAACTGACGCTGGGATTGCCCGCAGATGTTTTGCTGATTCAAGAAAAGCAGCAGGATAAAGAAGAGGGAAGAACCTTCCAAAAAAGTTGTTTTAACATCTGTTCATGTAATTGTGCCGAGGTTGTTTAACTATAAAAGGTTTTTTTGTTTGCTCATATTTATCTCTGAGGCAGAAATTTCGGTCGCAAAAGGATTAGAAAGAAGTAGCTCTCACGTTCTTACTGTAAATCGAATTAAAGGTTTTATTAACTGTTATTTCAATACAGGTTTAGCTGCAGTTACTGAAAAAACACTACATTTGTGCAGTCATTGCACCATTATCAACTCCTTGACTTTTATTTCTGCAGATGGTGTATTTGTAAATTGGTTATGCTGCTTCTGTAGCGGTTCTGCTTGGAAGGTTTGCTATCGTCGTTGTTACATCACTTGTCATTGATACAATCCGGTGCCGAAAAGAGTCACTAGCGTTGTTTAAAATTATGTATTTAGTGAGACTGCAGAGCGTTTTTTACTGGCTTTGTTTTGAGGAAATTTTATATTTATCAAAAGGTTACACAAAATGTACTTTAATTATGTGGGACTTTCATTTGATGATAACAGGTGGCAAAAAAAAGAGAGCCGAAGACATACATATGCACGGTAATCTTTTTTTTGTTAACACTGACTATGTGTTGAACAGCAAAGAAAATACTTTCCTTGATAAATAGCGACAAGAAGTCGATACTAGATTGTTTACCCGCTGATGGCTCTTCATCGGGAATTTAACAGAAAATCGAGAACCGAACGGATATTGCAGATTTTTGATCTGATAAGTGTTATCTATTGTGAAAAAATATTCAATATATGTTCAATGATTAGCAGATTAGTTGATGGTTTTTTCTGCTATTCACATAAGATTATCTTGAGGTGGACAGAAATTTGTATGCGTATAATTGTGAATCAAACGAATATAATGAACTGCATTTATAAGTGGCATCTGATAGACAATGTTTGCCGTATCACGGTACAATTTTTATAGATCTTAAAGTATTTTTTAAGATGATTCATCTAGTGCTTATTGTAACTGAAATATGCGGATACTTTTTCTGGGAGCCGCATGTTTGGAAATTCAGTTAAATGAGCAGTTTTTCGACAACGGTAAATTACAATTATTTTTTTTGTCGTCAAAGCAGACAACTAAATTGGAATAATTTTTTGCTTGGTCCCAACTTAGCTAACAGAAATGGATATTCAGTGTTTATTCAGTTATTTTAATTATTTTAATTATTTTAATTTTTCTTTCTTATATAGCGTTCTTATTTGCAAAAATCTAGTTTTTGGATTACAATATTAAAAACTGCCATTGAGAACAACAGTCACAGAGAAAAAACTGACCGTTATTACTGTTATCTATATCTGCCATCCGCTCCTTTCTACTGTCATATAAACGTTAACTGATCTCTCTGTGTAGGACCCGATAATTCATTTGATGGATTATTTATAAGTGTTGTGATATCTCCTTAATTTAACTTTTAAACATACTTTATAAAGAGTACAGAACTTACATAGTTTATGATGAATATCAACTGGTGTATTTCGAATATTTCAAACTGCCACTGTTCTTATTTCATGACCTCTAAAGTTTCTTCTGATTTGCGTATAGCTGTTTTGAATGATTGTTTTTCATTAATCTAATCGGAAACAAAACCTTGTCGTTGTATGATGCGTTGTTTCTCTTCGCTTAACTGTTTAGGATTTCACTGTATTAAGTGTCATGTTGATTTCTACGGTGTTTCTTGTAAACTTTTTTCTTCACTTGCACTTTATAGCGGTTTATTTATTTTATGTGAATAATGGATTAAGAATTTTTAGACAACATTTTTTTTTTTCGATTATTCAATAATTTTTTGCATCATGACAAGTCTAAGCGTCAATTCTGATCGATGGTATTTTCATTTTAAGAGAACTGTTTGGTCATGGCTTCTTTTAGGCGTCCTCGACCAAGAATTAATTTAACAACTGTTGCACTTGTCGAAGTACTTGGCCTATTATTGAACTTTAGAACTACTAGTCTGTAATCGAGTGATAAAATAAGAAAAATGGAAGTTTTTGAAAATCGATTTTATCGCAAACAGTTAAGAATTTTAGTTCTTTTAAACTGAAACTGGAGGGAAACGTTTGGTTGTAAATGCTGTCTCGTTATTTTTAAATTTTCTTCATTTTTGTTACAAAATTTTTGCTATTAATTTTACGAGCTTTTGGATTGTGTTAACCTAAATATGCTCTTATTTTTTGTAAAATGGATGTATTGTTCACTGGCTATTTTTCGACTTTTCGTTGTCATTTGTCGACATCTTTAAAATTACAAGATGTTTTAAAAATAAAGGTGGAGTGTTATAAGCAGCACTTCAGCGAAGAAAGTCGAATCTCAAGTTCCTTTTTTTGCAAGAAATAGTTTTATAAACAATCTTTGCATTACTTCTATTAACTTTCCCCGAATTGTAATTTTTTGTACTTGGAAGTGTAAGAAGGCATCAGTAAGTATTATTTGGCTGGTTTGGTTCTGAAATTAGATCGTAACAGTTGATGAAAAGTTAACGTAAAAGAAACCTTATTGGACATTTACTATAGTTTCTAAAGTATTCAAATACAGGATATTTTATAAAAAAGGTAAGTTATTTAAAGTACCATAGATTAAGCAGTGCTTCAGAGATAATGGGGGAAAAGTTACAGATGTAATGGCAGCTCTGAAAAGATGCTACGCGTAGTAAGAACGATATTTTTTTCAAACTTAAAATTGGATTTCAACCTTTTTTCTGTGATTTATTATCGAAAAAAAACCGGTTAACGAGTTATTTCTAAATTAGCTGTAATGACTTGCGATCGGTTCTTAAAATGTTTTTTTTAACCGGATTATTAGATGCTAGAAATTGGCGCTTCATCGATTTGCTCATTACACTGGCTTATAGAGACGGTAATTTGTGGCGTAAATTGCGGAAGACAAACGATGTAAATTTTACTGCGAGTATTTTCAGAAACCATTCTGCTGCGATCATGATGAAGGCTGTAGGATTTATAGGATTGGGCAACATGGGTTTTAATATGGCAAAAAATTTGTTAAAGTCCGGTTGTCAATTGGTGGTACATGATATCAATGCTGAACCTATGCAAAGGCTTAAGGTAGTGGTGCGCTACGATATTCGTTTAATTTTTTAGTGCCATTAAAAACTGGAATTTTTTGTTCTGCTGACATAATTTTAGGTCAGAAAGAAATAAAATACTTGAAAATTTGAGCAAATGAAATGAGGGTCTAAAAATGGTTTTACTTGATTTCATATCTAAGCATTTTTTACGCAGCTAAGAGATTCAAATTTTTGTGGGACAATACTTCATAAAACTTTTTTTTTTTGTTCTAGTTGAATAAAAAAGCAGATCATTTACGTATTAACAAGTCATTTTCTTGATGATATACATCAGGATTTTTCACAACGATCAATCACGTTCAGCGAGAAAGAGACTTATTGATTTTGTCATTTAACCACATTTTTCAAGCAGCTGCAGTGGATAAAATACTTATGCCTGAGTCAGAACGTAGTTAGAAATCAGAACTCTTTTTGAACATCAAACTTTTATTATTCATTGTTTGCATGCGAGAAACTGAAGTGTTAATTAAAAGGCTCTTCTAGGAAATAGGAGCAAAAACGGCAAAATATCCAGCGGAAATTGCTGAAGAGTGTTCTGAGGTAGTTATGATGGTGCCAACTCAAAACGAAGTAAAACAGATATTCTATGATAACCATGGAATTTTAAAGTAAAAAGATCAAAAGATTCTTACGAGAAATTTCAGTTTTTTGCTTCTGTTGAGTTAAATCCTACAACTGTTTGGATTTTACTTATCGTCTAAATATATCTAATTTCGGTCCAATTTCCAGATAGGCAAAGCCTTTTAGATCCTGTACAAATGTAATGAAGCGGTATCTAAAAACCAACTTAGAGAACTTGTTTATAAATCTGTAATTAAGCTCTGCTTTGAAGAAATGCTAAACGAGGGACCCTGTACATCAGTTGCTCAACGTTACCGCCGACGTTTGAAATTCAAACACATGAAATGCTAAAACAAAAACAAATAGAATACATTGACGCTCCGGTAAGCGGCGGAGTTGTAGGTGCGGAAAATGCTTCCTTAACATTTATGGTCGGAGGTCCCGAAAAATCCAGAGAACGAGCTGAACCAATCCTGAAAAATATGGGCAAGAATGTTATCAACTGTGGTAAAGTAAGAGATTTTTTAGATTTTAAATGATAATATTGTCATTATCTGCAAATATTTACCGAAAGTTCTGTCAAAGTTTTGTAGAACCATTGGTTTTTTAACTGTTTGTTTGTCGTCAAAAGGTGGCGCAAAGTCGAAATATACAGAAAATTTTTATTAATATATTTAAGATAAAAAATTCAAAGATTTTTTTAGATAGGTAGTGGTCAAGTGGCAAAGTTGTGTAATAATATGATTTTGGGCATCCAAATGTTGTCCGTTGCAGAAGGCATAAACCTCGGTGTAAGGTAAGGGCGTAATAGAACTTTGTACAGCGATAACGCTCAGTACTATACCATTTTCTCCATTCTTTTTAAAGATTGGGATTAGATCCGGCAATCTTGAGTTCTGTGCTTAACCAAAGCACTGGACGATGTTTTTCTACTGAAGTAAATAATCCAGTACCTGACGTGAATCCTAATGCGCCATCTTCGAGGAACTATAGTGGTGGTTTCAAATGCAGCCTGTTAGCAAAGGTTGGATTTTGAATTTTGGATGTGATACGCTGCTCTCCAGTACAGAAATTTTTTTCGCTTTTTGAGACTTGATTTTTTTGGAAATACAGCAGGTTATGATAATACTGTGTTTTTATTACACATGTGCATAGCAGTGTTTAATAATTTCAAAAAAATTTATTAAGAAAGTAGTATTAAAGATTAGTACATTTAGTGTAATTAAAGGACAGTAATTTCAATCTTTAGGATATGAAATTGGCTCAAGAAGCTGCTGCAGAATCTTTGACACCGATACCGCTTGGCTCATTCACTTATCAGATTTATAGATATTTGACGAATTCGCCGAAATACCGAGATCTTGATTTTTCAGCAATCTATAAATTCTTGTGTGATGAACCGTAATTGTCTAGTAGATTGATTTCATTCACCAGCCGGTTTCTACCTCAATCAACAAAATTAGTACTGTAAAACAGTAAACACGGACACTCGTTTTTCACAAAGTCTTATGCATTCACCTTGACTATGCAGTCTGAATCTCATTTCCTTTGAAATTTGTGTCTGCCATTTTTCCAGTCTTATTTTCCTCGCTCAGCTGGAATATTTTGCTCTCATCTTTGTAACGGTCGATAAAGAAAACTTTCACATTTTGATCTTCGTAAAAATCTGCGAACAGTTATTTCGTAACAATGACCAGGTAAACTCTAAGATAGTTTATCTAATTCTTCAAAGTTTAACATGTATAATCTTGTCAGATATGGCATGTAATTGTAGACCATGCGACCGATGTGCCTGGTAAACTGTAATTTTCTGATAAGATTAAATTTCTTTCTGAAAATTAAAATTTTTCTAAGAAGTTATTTTTAAGGAGATGCCTATTTAATATTGTACAGTGAATATATTACTGGAAAACCGCAGTGAAATGTAATTTTAATTAGTTCAATAGTATTACCACTCTAACTAAAACAATCGTCGTCATTACTGTAGCTGTATTTCAGCACCATTACTACTCATGCCGATGTAAATAGTTTTTGAAAGGCGGTGAATGAATGATTTGGCGAGTAGAGTTTTATGCGTTTTGTAGACTGAAAGACCGACGATGTGCGATTTTTAGCAAACTAAACTAGTAAGAAAACTAGAAAAACGAATTTCATTTAATTGATCACTGTTGTGCAAGATCACATGTGGAGTACGACATCTGTTATCTGTATAGGCTCGGCTAGACTGTTTCTGGAAATTAATTGTTTTTGTACAATAGAAGGAATAACTGCTGAGATAAAATTAACTGATATATATATATATATATATATA